CTATTCTATATTTGATAAAGCATAATACCTTGACTTGACTTCTCTGTAAGTTTATAAGTTGTGTATGGACTTAACAATACTCGAACGTTCAACATTTCCTAAGCGGCTTTATTCTACGTTCTCAGCGTGTCTGCTATAAGGCAGGTTATTTTAAAACTTATGTCTTGATAGTCTTCTTACATAAAAGTTCTATTATATTCTTTTTAATTTTACCTAATACTTTATTTAGAAAATTTTCCAAAACAAAATGCCAGATAAAAGTAACCAAGTCATCCAGTATCTTTCAAATTGTTTGCTATCAACTCTGTTAAATTAAAAATAAGGTTCACCCTGTATTATTATACAGGTTGAACCTTTTGACCTCAGACTCTATTGAGTTATCAAGATAAAAGCATCTACGTGATGTATTAACGGTCTAAGAGTAGCCATTGTATACACATTATCCCAGACAATACACCCTAATGTGATTATGACATTTGACATGATGTTACTCTTACCTTCATAAACAACCTTGTGCTAAGAAGCTTCATTGTAAAGGTGACACCAAATACCCTTTACTCTCTTTACTCGATGAAAGTATGGAAGATTTCCAGCTTTATGAACAACAAGAAAGCTATCACTTTGTGTAATATCACAAATTGAGATTGAGACAAAGTTTAAACTTTAATTATTTTAAATCCTTTGTGTTGTATACAAAATTATTTGAAATTAAGCATTGAATAGTCTACGCCCTAGATCATCGGTGCTTGCGTGAGGCCTTCCACAATTACCTTAATATATGAACAACAAAGTGATCAGTGTGAATTTGAAAGGTAACTACGGTAAAGGAATCTCTAAGAAAATATAAAACGATTGTGTGAATATTCAAATATGGTGATTGAATGTTATATGGAGTACTACATAATTATATATAACGTCCTGTGTAGAGTAAAAGGCAGGGAGATATTAATATATCAAATATCTTCGAAATTCGCGTTGCTTAAGTAACTATAATTTTGTTCAGTTCTTTTCCCACTTATCTTGGTTTTATGGAAAAGAATTATTTACTTTTAGAAAAGAGGACGGAGCAGTTGAAATGAGATCTCTTTAATTTTTATTTGCGCTGCGCTGCGCTCAAAATAATCTTTTCAAAACGCAGCGCCCGCCGGTTAACGTTTAATACAGTTCTATTCATTACATCGTAACATTTTGGACGCTTCTTTTATTTTAAATATAAGATTATTTCAAATAATATGATTGATAAAATACATTACAAAAGAATTATATTTTCCGACAGCTTTTTTGTATTTTATTTTTAATGATAACCTTAATAATCAGACGACATTTACAATGTTGTAGTCATCATGTAGTAGTAAAAGCTGTTAAAATCAGCATAATGCCATCTAGTGGGCAAATATAGAAATGTTTAATCACTTTTGTACTTCTAATCACACACAACGTTCCAAGGAAATTGGATCGATTCTAAACAAGGGTGAAATGAGATCCAGAACTCGGCTTAGTAACAAATAAGTTACGTCCCTTAACTTAAAAATTTTTGAAGTTTGAAGTTTGTTACTTATTTGTTGAAAAAACTATAACTTTTTTTTCTTAGCAACAATTCATTTATTTTGAAGTGTGACACGAATTTAAGATTACTTATGTGATGAAAAAACTAGTATTTTTAATAACATTTTATGCTAAGTCTTAATCATCCTACAGACAATGAAATTGCTATAGTATGATATCTTTTTATTTGAGTATTTAAATTAAAAAAAATATCCAAAAACAATTTGCATACTTCACAACCAGTTCTTTTGTGTTGAATAAAAAATGATTTTGCTTTCTCGACAATACTTCTAGAGCCAGATGACAGGCTATTTTATTAACACTACTCGTACAAATATTTTCCATTTCAATTGTGAGCACATAATAAAATTTAATTTAAAACTGATGCTTTGAAATATTAAACCTTGAATGTTTGATGCAAAGCATTACGTCTGTAGCACACTGCCGTGAAAACGAACTGCAGAACAAAGCGAACCCAATTTAATAATGGTTCATAGTTCCAGTGGACCAGAATTTAGCAGCTTTTTTAACAGCACAAAACCAATTCAATGTCAGCTAAATATACATTTCATTTTCATATTTTTTACATTACGCTTCGCTATGGCTCCAAGTCGCTTTCGCTGCAGTGTGCTAGTGACCTTAAACGGATTACGAAAATTTTATTTCACGAGGAACAAACATCACTTCACAGTTGGAGCTTGAGCTAATATTTAAATTCCGTTTGATTTAATATAAAACTACTAAACTCTACGAGATAAAGGTTTGAATTTCGCAAATAAAAAGTATTGCACCTTTTTTGCTCGAACTTCCTTTAACAAAGATATATATATTGGATCCATTATAAAAAATTAGAAGGCACAGACTATCTTCCATTTGGATCTTCATCTAATTTTAGTAACAGTAATAATGTTACCCACTCGAAGTCACGGCGTCGCGTCGCTAGTATATTACTAAAAATTACTTTCTTTATTTTACGGGTTATCGTTTGAAAGAAAATGTTAATTGAAAAAGCCGTGGATAAAATTCGATATAGGCGAAGTTTACACAACCAAATATCCGAACATGTAAAATAATAGTGTATTTTCTTACCATACGAGAGAAAAATAAACTGTAATAGATGTCATTAATTCCATTTAAGACTCCTTTTCCACTGTGAATATTAGCATTTCTTTCTGTACGAGTCACGTCACTAAAAATTCTGTTAAACTTCTCGTTCTAATAGCACTTGTTCGGCAATTAGCGGTAGTGGAAAAGTAGTCTACGGTGTTGCGTTCCAGTTTAAATATTTTTATATACTTCGATGCTTTTTTGTTACTTGATACTAAGCATATCAATGCTGAAATCTACGGTTAACGAGTTTGTAAAAATTCATAATAAGCTGTTTAGTTTTTAAAAAATAAATTAAAAGTAATATAGTAGATAATAATAGTCGCTTTTAGTCGTGTAAAATGTTTATCTTAACATTTTACACGACTAAAGACGACATCTAGTGTAGAAAAGCCGTTTTATTATAATGTTGCTACTCCTCACTTGGGAATAGCAACGTGGTGTTTGAAGACCACAAACTTTTGAACGTACCATCTAGTGTCAAGTAGTGATAGTAGAGTTTTCGTACAAATTTTATTTTTATAAAATGATTTATTAGAATAATGCCATAAATTTTACTTTATATTTGCTTAGCAAATTATTTTGTAAGTCTAGCACGAATATTTACGACAAACGCCTTCATATAGTCATCGTCATTTATACCAAAACTAATGAGATTTTGGGTACACTTTACAACCGATAGGCAGTGTATAAATTTTAATACAATCGTTTTCGTTCACGACACGATGGCGCTTTCACAAATTTTTATGTTAGGTCATACATAGGTTGGTCTTAAATTCGCATACTTCGAAGCGTCATACAATTAGCCAGTGTTTATATGACGTTTGGAACAAAAACAATCCAGAGGTAGAAAAATAAAACAACTTATTTGGAATCGTGTAATTAATCAACTTTAATTGCGTTTTTATCATCTGAATGTGCGCTTTTTCTTCTCAATCTAATCCCCGTCAATTTGCTGAGAATTTTTTTCCAAAGAAGCGAGGATACGATAAAACACAAAACATAATCTTATTCTTAAATAGATCGTAGAATTAATTTTAGTTTATACCAATTATTTAGATAATAAAGTTTTGTTAACATATAAAACTTTTTTTTTATTATTATACTCAAAACGAAATGAGCATCGGATAGAAAATTCTATAATTTTTTAACAAAATGTCACCACACCCTGGCTGTTGTTTGTTAAAAAATTATAGTAAAAATACATCTAAGTTAATTTATATTAAATGTACTCTTATTACCAAAACTGAATAAGGGATTAATCTAAAATTTAATTGTCGGCTTAAAACTTTAAATCCAAAAAAAGAAATTGCAATTAAAAATTTCCAAAACATTACATCAGCTCAAAATTAACAGAGATTCCATGCAATAGAACTAGAAATAACAAAAAAAAACTTAATGTTATAATTAAAAAACGAAAAACATTGGAATATCAGTGTCCACTCAATAAATATTTAAAGGTATTTGTTCAATAACTTTGGATTTCTATCGCAGTGACATTTGTATTGACACATATTGTCATCTCTTTCACTCTCATTGAAATAAAAAGAGACAATATGTCAAGCAATGTAACGGCATTTGAAACCCATAGTAAACACAATTATTTGAAAATGAAATGGAAATATTGCTAGAAAATATAAGCATAAGTAAATGACTTTCAATACATTATATTTTAATTAACAGTTAATTAACATTACAAATATTTTTTTAATGAAATAACCATGAATTTGGAATTTTATAAGTACCAAGAGTTGTTCTTCATTTGCAGAAAAACAATCATTTAAATTTTAAAATATTGTATTTGATTTATAAAATATTTGTTGATTTCTAAACTAAAATTTAATATTTATAACTTAATTATAGTTAAGTTTTAATTTTACTTATAACATTTATAGCCAGACACTTTAAAACATTAAAAATTTTGATAATGAAATACAATATTTCTTCATGTAACGTGAAAAAATCCGAAACTAATAATTTATCTCCATTTTTGAATTTAACTGATGAAGGATAGAAATAACATTTGGTAAACCTTGATAATTTAGTTAAGGATCTATCCAATTATTGGTTTCGGTCGTAATTAAATCACATCGCGTAATTCAAAAACTATTGATTGCGATCTATAATTTTTTATCGTATACATACAGGTACAAATAAATTTATATGAACATATTGGAAATTGAAGGAAGTGTTTTACAAATATCAAACGTGTATAAACAAAGTGGATAAAAAATAATTAATAAAGGAAAAAAATATATTATTTCTCATTTAACTATTAAAGTAATAAAAGGTATCAATTGCAATATTTGTTTTATTATAACAACTATCACAATAATTTTTAAAATTCACATTTTACTGACATATAAAAGCAATTAGGCGATTATATAAACCAATATATTATTAAAAAGATTTTTTATAATCCCACTATTGTAACAGTATTACGATAAATCCATTCCTTTTAATGTAATCAGAAAAAAACAAATGCATGTTGCTTTTATGAGTCAATTATAGAGAATTAAAAAAAAAGTAATCGAGTTTTATTAAAGTATTTTATCTGATATCGCGTAACGCGTAGACGTAAACAACTAAAAAATAATCTCTTAACCTAAATTCTTACAATCACATTGGTTTTACGGTTTTTCAGTCTCGCTTTCCTCCTTCACTGAATCGTTAACCTGTTGATCTTGGGCAGGTTTTTCGGGGTTTTCATCCGCTTCTTCGATAGAAGCATGCTCTTTGGGCTGAACGTCTGTCCCGTTCCCTCCTGTTCGTAACACCATGTAGCTGAGTAGGTCAGACAGCGATATTATGCCGATTACTTTGTCCTCATCATCAACAACGACAAGACGATGTACCTGTAAAGAAAAATAAGTAAAAGAATATAAACAAGGAACTAATTTGTTTAATTCACTTAAGTTCAAGTAATTTTTTAAATATATGATGGTTGATATTTTTACTATATTGTCAGTAAAAAATGCACTTCAAAGCAATCAGCACCATCTATGTTTAATTTACCGACACCATTTTAGGCAACTGCGCAATAAAACTGTTTTAGTTACAATGACAAATCATAGATGTCACTATAATTTAATTCGCGAATAAAATTTATAGCAAGTTTCCGAGACCAAAATCCAAGTTTAAAATATATTGTTATGTCTGCCTTAAAGACAATGACAGGGATGACGATATGTTTTAAACTGAAATTTTTAGCTCGGAAACCAAAGGAAATAAATCTAGATGTGAACCTACTTCTGCTCTTACAATCCTCTTCATAATATCATATAACGTCTCATCGAGTTTGCATTTGTAAACTCCTTCGAACCATTCGTTCCTATGTTTATTGGCCTCTTTTATGGTCACGTCCAAGTTATTGTAAGTCCTTTTTGCCGCCAAATTCTGCAAAATAAAAAACATCGAATAAAACATCGTATGAATTACTTCTAATTAGTATATTTATTTTAGTGTCAATAAGTCTACTATACAAAATTTAGAAATTTAAATAAATTCGGAAATATGGTAATTTTTAATTTTCAGTCAACTAACTGTTGAATTCCAGATAAAAATCTCTGTATAAATCACATCATCTCTGTCATTATCTTTAACAAAACAGAGACAAAAATATGTTTTAAACTCCATTAGGTTTAGAAACCAACGGTAAATCTTAAAGAAGCAAAAAACATAAAAATATTTATTGATAATTTGAAATAATGCATATTAGCAATACAAAATTGAATAAGTAAATATTGACTAATCCAAAGGTAAAAAGAAATATGTCTTAAGAGATATTATTGGTTGAAAGGTCCAAAAAAAACTGAATGTACTTACAATAACGTCGAATTTCGCATAGATATCTTTAAGTCGTCCTTCACTATCAACAACAGGCAACGCTGACACTCTTCTGTTAACGAACTTGTGCAGTGCCTGAATGATGGTCGTGTCTTCTGTAGCCGTCTCTATGTTATCCATTGTACCAATATCCAGATCGCGAAGTAAACTGTTCACGTATCTCGGCTTCGGTAATTCATTAATCTACAAATAAATTTAAAACATATAATCAAATTAAATCTATACTAAACGCATATTTATAAAAATGGCATGTCTGTGTTTAATATCAAAAAAAAAATATATTCCGTACACATGAAAACGAAAGTATGTATTTTTAGTCATTATTAGTTAGAATCCTTTGGCGCGAATGACGTGCTTTCGTTACAAAGTCCCGTGTCAGAATGAATACTGAGGGGACATAAACGGCCACATTTTAGTGAGGCTAGTGTTGAGTTAATACACTGGCTCATTTTCGAATTTACTTCCTAACAGCATGTTGCGTAGTTAATACGTATTTTTTATTTTTGTCTGTATGTCTGCAACACGTTTGTTCCGGGTAATATCCGAAACTGCGAGACCGACTTTTGGTGGGACTTGTGCGTTAAGTACTTATAGGCTATTTTTGCGCTAAAGTCGCGGACGACCGTGAGTATAAAATAAATAAATATTCATCTTTAAACATTTCTTTGGACACATAAAATGTGTTTTAAAACTGTTTAAAAATTAAATTTAAAGTTATTCTTATATCTGGGATTATATTCATTTTAAAATATAAAATTAAATTCTTTTGAATGTTAATTTGATTAAAAATAAAACTGAGTTTCACCATACAAATTATCTGGGTAGTATCTCAGAAGAAATAATGCTTAATACAAAACCGCTGGAGAACAATGACTAAAATAATTAGTAGTTATTCACAAAAGAATGTCAAAAACATTTTACTCTGACGACAGCTATTGTTTTTCTAGGATAATTATTTTCAAACAAAATGTCTCGTTTAGTTTCTATATACCAAAGAATTTTTCGTCATTAACAAAGTGATAAGTTATATACTATGCCGATGCGGTTTTTGCATTCGAAACTGCGGTTGACTGTGGCTGACTAGTTATTACGTATACCGCAACTGCGCGTTGCGTTTATAAACCGCACAAATACTGCGTATCTGAGACGCCATACTTCTAATACATACGAAAAAAAGACACGTAATTCAGGAGTTACCGTTCAAACAGACACGCGTATGTAGAGAGGAATATATGCTTAAGTTCTACACAGTTTTCTTAAATTAGTGTCTTGATACGAACTAGTAGCGAATCAAAGGCGAAACTACTTTCGTTTCGCGTACTTTCCGTTTGCTGTGTGAACCAACCAATGTGGTGAGTTGTAATAACGCATATTGCCATCTCTTACATTTTCTTTGAGAAAATAGCGACAAAAATAATTTGCTGATTGGGTTGTATTTAATTTCACTTTAGAGGCATCGTGACGTCTGTCTCTTGAACAATATTATAAAAGTGAACATTTGGATGGATGTTTGTTTGAAGGTATCTCTAAAATGGTTAAACCGTTCTCGATGAAATTTGGCATAGATGTATAACATAGCTTGGAAGAACACATAGGCTACTAATTACTGTAATTAATTCCGTGCTGACGGAGTCGCGGGCAACAGTTAGTAGCAAATAACTTACATATAAGAAAAGGAATCGGAGTATCCTCTTATGTGTTATGATATACAAGACATCACCAGTTGCAGGATCTATTACTGGCAGTCGATGTATTTTATTATGTATTATAGTATATATGGCATCGTACAAAGAATCGTCTGGCGTTATAGAGACGAGAGGCTTCTCGAGATCGTTCAGTAGATCTGGAAATTAAATTAATTATTGCATAAAACAACACTTATAAATAATATAGTCCAACTGTAAATACGTTTACGATCTAAAATTATAAAATTACATTAATTTATTACATTAATGCGAAGGTTTGGGCCAATGGATGGATGTTTGCTGTATAGATCTAGATGAAATTTAGTATAGCCATCTGGAAGAAAACATAGTCTAAAATATGGAGAAAAGAAAATTCAAGAAATAACATAGTTTTAGTAATTAAACATAGTACATACCGCGCCAAGTGTACAAGCTATGGTTCTCTAATTCTTCCATAGCGACGCCAGAATGCATGTAGTTCATTTGCAAGATCTTAATGAAATCAGTGATCGTAAGCATGCCGACGAACTTTCCTTTCTGGCTGTCCCAAAGCGGTGCAGCTCGAACGCCTGTAAATAAAACCCATATTGGTAAATATCTAGGAATTCATAAAATATATACGCGGCCATTGTTAAGAAAACGAAACAACCGAAGTAAAAAATTACATATGTAATAAGATATCGCAAGTATAAAAACTATGTAACAGTGAAACTTAAGTGCGGCTCTGCAGGAAATTATAAAAGTAAAACGCGCCATGGCAATTGTAAATTTGAATATCTTAAACATTAATATTGCATTCTCGACGAATACAATAATTTTATCTAACGTTTTGTCACCATTTCTTCTCTTTTTCGCTTATTAATTTATTGTATACAGTTGTCTAACTAGATTAAACAAAAAACTCGCTACAAATAAATCAACGCAACATACAAAAACAATCGTCAATACAGCAGGAGCAATACATACGAGTATGTATTCACAAAATATTGAGACATAACTTGTATTTCGCTAAGTAAGAATACTTTTAAATAAGGTATATTTTCTAAATGGTTTAAAATAACTGTATATTTTTCGCACTTAAACTTTTAAAAACATATAAAATTAAACATCTAACGTGAAACATGTCAAAGACTAAACGAGGGCTGCTACATTTTGTTTAGATTCAAATGACGATATTAATATGTAATAAAATAAAAATATGTAAACAGTCGCAATAAAAATTGCCCAGAACTTCAAACTTATGGAATATTCCAATGACCTGGAAATGTTTTTGCGTCTTACAAATTCGCATTGGATCAATCATTGTCACCAATATCCATACAAATGTAATCGGGACAGAGTTACCTGCTACTTATTTGCATGACCCGATACCCTTGTCTCATGTAAATTCTGGAAATCTGATTTGAGATACCTTTGTTCTTGTGCAATTGTAAAAATGTATATTGACCTTCGATGTCTGCAGTGACAAAAAATACATTTTTTAAACATTCAGGTAGACTGATAGATTGACACACTTTAAAGTCGGTAACACACCAATATCACATATTTTTATGGATATTGACGATGGCTGTAGTTATCATTAGGTGAGATGTTTAATATTATATTTTTGTCCGCTTTTTACAACCTAGACAGCAGCAACAGAAGCTCAGCAGATGCGCACGCACGTTGTAGACGCAGAGAGAAATGATTCATGTAATTACATACACATTTAGGGAAGTTTATAATTGATCCATCGAGTTGCTAGTCACAGTCACTGACCATTGCTGACGAGAGCGAAGAACGCCTTCTTCGCGAGGAGCTGGATGTCGAAGACCACGAGCTTAGCAGACGTTGGGATCAAGTCGTAGCACTGGTGGAATCGGAAGAATTTCACGAAGATCTGCGAATCATCCCTCGCTGTAAAAACAAAGAAAATACGCAATTAATCGTGTAATAATTTCTATATATATAACCCTTTGGGTTACGGGCGTAAGTAGTGCTGTTGTATGAATTTAATAAATAATTTATTTATTTATTTATTTATAATTAATCACGTAACAATCAATGAATAATTAATTAGTCAATTACACAATCAATTTCTTGATAAAATAAAAATCTAAAATTTATTCAACATGCCTCGAAAAGGCACAACAATCGCATTAAGTAAATTTGGTAATACTGTTTATATCAAGGTAACCAGCTATTTTGTTACTATAAACTCTTTAATTATAATAACAAAATTTGTTGCTATTTTTAATGCCAAGTTTCCATTGCTGTATTTTGTTAAAAAAAATAAACTTTAAAATCTAATACGATGTTGCATTTTCATAAAGCTGGGTAAAACAAAACAGTTCTTATAGCGGTTTGTATATAAAATATGTTCGTATGAGATAAAACCATATTGTATGATGACCTAAAAAAAAATAAAAAGAGATATATTGTAGTTATTGTAGACTGCGCTTTATTTAAAAAGTTCTTCAGTGAACATTTTCACGGCCGGCGCGGAGCGGCGCGGTGGTTCGCGTCAGTCCATTAGAAACACATACATATACCGATTTGATGTTTGTTTATTTACGTTCCGCACCTAGCAGCTTGTTACGCAAGTTATCGGAGGCCATTCTATGATGTCACAAGGATCCTTGCAAGATGTACATTCAGCTCTTAAACGCCTAACAATCTTTTCGAAGTGGAAATCAAACAAATTGTTAATTTAGTTTGCATACATAAATAAATATCATGCAATTAAATTAACAATGGATATGAATAGTAAATAACGTATCACTTGTGTTAGTAATATCCTATTGTTACTATTAACATCTTATACAAACCGCAAAGGAAATATTTAACCGAACTAAACAAAAGTTGCTTTATTAAATTAACATAATAATGATATAGACTAGGCCGTATTCGATACATATCGCTATAAGAAAACGGACTACTGCAATCATCTGTACACTTATAAGCGACCTATATATCGATTGGGATCGCACAACAAATATGACGTAGGCATACGTTTGTCGGCATACGAAGAGAATGAAAACAAACGTGCGGTATTAGCGTGGGTGAAATAAACAAGCCGGCACCTTGGAGGAGCCAATCGTCGAGGAAGGCTTTCCATGCACGGCCGACCGCTTCGAACTCCTTGATTAGGTCGATCGAGTAGACCGACTCCTCGTCTTCGGCGGTGGCGAGGGCGGGATGATCCGAGAAGTAGTGTAGGCGCAGCATGCGCGGGCTCGGGGCGTCACATCGCCCGCTTGCCGCATCCACTCACTGCTAATACTACTCGAGGGTGAGCATGGTACGTGCTGGTACTAGAGAGCTAAGTAGCGCGCAACGCAGCCGCCGCCGCCACCGGCACTACTGGGCCGACGCTGATGCGCAGCCGCACCGCCACGTCGAACTAAATATAAAACTTGCCGTCCCGAAATAAATATCGCCGACCGACAGCTGGCCTAACCACAACACGGGAGAAACTCCCAAACACCACTACACTACTCCGCTGTCATTTCACCGTAAGAAGTAAAAAGCTTATATGCTTTCAAGGTCATAAACCCAAAATAAAATCGGCAATCAGCTTTTGGATTATATTAAATGTTATCGTTAGTCAACAAAAATAAATTTAAATCAATGAGCTTTTTATATCAGAACAGTCATACTCTTTCATGTCGTTCGATAATAAATTTACGACGACACACATAAAAATCAATGGATCCACTTGCGCTGCGATAATTGTATTAATAGTTTTAGTCAAGATGTTCCTTCGAATATAATAACTTTAAAATCATATGTATTGCTTAGTCGAATTCAATAGAAATAAAAAACGACATTAAGACCTTACACTGGCTGACAAATGATGGCAATATCATTTGTCTATGGATTTATTTTGGAAAGTATTAATGTTCGAATTGATGATACAAGTACACCTGTTTTAATAAATCTATGATTACAGCCTTAATAATTGTTTAGAGATTATTGTTACAATTAACCATTTCAATTTACTATACAATCATATTTCCGTGTACAATTTTTTTATTAATTTACATTGATTACGTACAGAATCGAAACTATAATAGTAAAGTGAATCAAATAAATATATGATTACGATAGCAATCAAATAGCGTTTTGATATGTAAACTCATCGGTACAAATTGCCATAATACTTCTGTTTACTAAATCAAACTTGCATACAAAATAATTCATTGTATTTGCTGCGTAAACTATCAAGAAATTAATAAAGAAAAAACCAAATCGAAATAGCTGTCATCAATTAGTTCGTAACATCGTTCAATCTACGATGTCAGACGTTCTATTTATTACTAGACCTAACAGCTTAATATACGCGCCGATGCATCTAGGCTAGATACATTTATAGACACGTTTGACTTCGCTTATACTGTGCAAGTCTTAGTTGACACTTGCACGATTTTAATAAATACGAAGTTTATCGATCGTAAAATGTACAATAACAAATTACTCACACACGTAACACACCTTCATAGTATCGTAACACGTTTTTCCGCACGCAATCAAGACGCTTGGTAAAAAGCCATAGGTTCATCGTGAAAAAAGAACAACGTCTGACTCAATAATAAAACTCCACTGCACAACAATCATGGCAACCGTTAAATTTTATACGACTGTACGACAATACACACAGGCAATGATAAAACGTTGTTATCTCGAGTGATAAAACATTAAAAATACTAATATGATCAATAATGCGTTAATGCAATGTAATCTAGCACATTTTTTTTATTATTTATCTTACGGATTACTTACTTTAGGATTACGTTTCATAAATGAACTACTTCAAACAACTAATTGATATCTTTATTAATGCGATTTTCATACGTTATTTATCTCTCTTTCAAAGAGAATGAGGGAGATGGCAATATTAATTCAGTTGTTATAACCCACATTTGCTTTGTGTTGGAAAATAAAAGTTATTTCATTTGATATAAAAATACTATTTGTTTTGATAATAATTTCAATATGCAGACTTGCAAGTTGTTAGTTGATTGACTGTAGGTATATATTATAATACCACCATTTCTAATACTACACTTACTTGCGCCATCGGGATCCAATTTTTCTATAAAAGGATCAGCTACGGGTAACTGCAACAAAAAAAGCCTTGTTATTTTAATAATTTCACTTTTCATAAGTCAATTTCGACGTCTAAAAACATGTGAAATTAGCTGCATTAGGACTTTTTTGCCACTTTTTCATTGACGGTTTAAATATTTTTTTTATTTTATTGTTGCAAAAAAGCTTATTTTGACTGATAATCTATTTATCCCCATTAACTATTTTTATCGAAGCGTAATTGACCACGTCTAGCCGGCAATTACGTGACGTAATAAACTGCAGACGATAAGTTCCAATTTGAATTAGAAACTTTTAAACTTTGATTTATTCGATTCTCTTCGAAAACAGCGTTTATAAATTAAACCTTTTAGAGTGAAAAGGAATAAACAAGTAAGACTCAGAATACTAAATTTGTCCGACCTCACCATAATACTTTTAACCTTAATATTTACTTCAGTGATTGACAGTAACTTTTCTTGAAGTTCTACAGTTTATTAATCATTCAAATGGGATAGAAGGAATTTAAAATATTGAAGACAACTCACCCCCCTAGCGTCTCGGAACAACATCGCAGCGCGTTCTGGGTCAATGAGGGCATTGGAGCCGCGATGACGACCCGGTCGAGAACAATTATCAAGCGAAGAACGTCTTTTTGCAGCCTCCTGAGCCCTCTCTCGGCGTAATTCGACACCTGTTAACAAAGAAAAGGTGTCAGGTCAAGCGACAGATTACATGTAATGAAGTAGACCACTCATGTCCAAAGTTAAGGAACAAGTGGAGAGGTACTGTTTCCAAATATCGTTTACGAATTAAAAATAAACA